TGGACTTTTTTTTAGTTACTATCTACAAAGAAATGGATTTAAAACACACCTTACACTAATCCTATCTCATTAGTCCCCCACTCTTTCCTAAATGAGATTTAAACCACACATTGTTACTATGTGCTGTCCAGGCAGCTTCAGGTCATGGCCCTTTCCTGAGCTGACCTCACCGTCTCTGATACGCCTGATCCCACTGACACAGTCACTGTGTTGACCCGTCTCATCCAGGATCTTCCTTTTTGAGGATGATAGAAGTCCTCTCCAGTGACCGGTCCCACCTAACGACATGACCAAAGGATGTGAGACAGAGTTTCAAAGTCCTTGCTTCCCTCTTTAGGACAGACCTGTCTGTCTGTTCTCTTGGTGGTCAGTACTCTTCTCCAGCACCACAAGTCAAAGGCATCAGTTCTTCTTTTGTCAACCTTTGCCATTGTCCAGCTCTCAGATGCATAGCATGTAATTGAGAAAACCATGGCCTGGATGGGGCACATCTTAGTCTCTCAAATGACATCATTGCTTTTCAGCTCTCTTATAAGAGGTCCCAGACAGCAGACTTTCCTGAAGCAATCTGTGTTTTGATTTCCTGAATCCTGGTGAAAAGAGTGTTGATTGTGGATCTGAAAAAGATGAAAAATTGTTAACAACTCCATTCTCTTCTCCATCTATTAATGATGCTGGCAGTTGGCCCGGTGGTGGGAATCTTCGTTTTCTTCATGTTGAGCTTCAGTCCATATTGAAGGCCGCAGTCCTTGAGTTTGTAGAAAATGCTTCAAGTCCTCCTCAGTTTCAGCAAAGTTGTGTCTGCGTAACACAGGTTGTTGAGGAGTCTGTCTTCCTCCCGTCCTGACACCACATTCTTCATCAAGTCCAGCCCCCAGAATGATCTGTTCAGCATTTAGATTGAAAAGATATGGAGAAAGGAAACATATCTAACATACTTCTCTCTTGATTTTGAAACATGCAGCATTCCCTCGCCCTGTTCATACGAGAGCTTCCTTGTCTAAATACAGGTTTTGCATGAGCACAATCAAGTGTTCTGGGATTCCCATTCTTCTCAGTGTTCGCCATAATTTGTTGTGATCCACATAGTCAAATGCCTTTGCATAGTCAATAAAACACACACATATCCGTCTGCTGTTTTCTGCTTTCAGCTAGGATCCATCTGACATCAGCTATTTAATATCCCTGGTGCCATAGCCTCTTCTAAACCCACCTTGGCCTTCTGGTAGTTCTCTATCAATGTATGATATAGGCTATATACATTATATGCGTTCAATTAAAATAGTGATTTTTATTTTTAAAATACAATTATTTTCTTTGGGGCAGAGATGAGACCAAATAGTATGAAGACCTGAAAGAGGGCCATCTTTTCGTAAGTAACACATGTGATATCTTTTTGATAACCACATAAACTCATTGTGTGTTATTTGTGCCAACACTACTCCGTTTCTTTCACATGCTGCTGACTTTGAGAAACAATAAGAAGACATAATTAAATGACAAAATTAGCAGATATAACATAGCCTGATGGTTTCACTTAAGATGATTGGAAGGGGGGAGATGCTTTCACACCCCACCAGATGAGCTAATGGGCTGTAATTATCACCTTAAATTAATAGGAAGAAATGGTTTGCTTTCAATTGTTCCCCCCCCCATTATTTAGGGGGACAATCAGACTCAACCTATGACTCTTTGATCATGATTTATATATTGATTACAAAATCATGATCACAGAGGGCAAGCTCAGACTTTTTTTACACAAACGGGATTAAAAGAAAATGAACAGAACGATACAATTTACTTTTAATATGAGAGGAACATAGAACATCAAAATTCACTTCTGCAAATGTCAAGAGATGTGTGTGGCCTATGAATGGGTATGCTGTGTGTCTGAACGATTTACTTAAGTTCCTCATTTTCCTGAGTTATATGTATGCTATTTACGTAGGCTTGTTATTTGCAAAAATATGTTAATAAGCAAAAATGAAAACAGTGATATTGTGAGTTAAAGGACAGGCTTTACTTTTATTTTTTTAAAAAATACAATCTTGATGTTGTCTTCTGTGTAACACACATCAAGTCGCAGTTATGTTTCAGCAATAATACAGATGATATTTCACGTTACTTACTATTTAAAGGGAGCTCTGGTAGCCCAGTGGCAAAGAGTTACACTGTCACCTCAAAGGCAAGCAGTTCGAATCTGCCAGCTGGTCCATGGGAGAGTAGGCAATCTCCTCCTGTGCAATTTATTGCTTCTGAAAACCAGCTGGAGCGTTTTTACTTGATGGTACATAACAAGAAGAGGTATTTTTAAATCAATCCCACCATCACCATCCATCAGCAGTTTGGAAAGATGCAATGAGTTAGCACTCGGGAGAAGCCTGGCTATGTCAGATGCTTCTGTAGGTAAATATTCAACAGTGGTACATGCCAGTCCTTGGGACGGGCAGCCATTCTGCAAGCCAAAGCTTTCTGGCCAATTAATGAAAGCAGCCAGGCCTCCTTCGTCGAAGTTCCAAACAAAAACCAGCCATAACCCCATGTTTTCAAGAGCAAAGCCACAAGCCCCAGGCTTTAGTCGTTGCTGGGGATGGGATGCTTCTGTCTCTTGTTCCTTGTTGATAAAGAAAGATTGCCTCTCCTCAGCTGCTGAAAGAACTGGTTTGGGGTCTTTAGGTTTTTTTTTTTTTTTTAAAAAAAAAAACACCACCAAAACAACTCAAGGGAGAGAGGGGAAATCGGAATGGAAAAACTCCCTCACTCTACTTTGGAAACCTCTGGTCATTGAATCCTTTAGAAGCCAAGCCCAGGGAAAGGCAGCCAGAAGAGACCTACTTAGGTCAGAAACAGGTCTCCTGGGAAGGGAGGTGGGGCTGACACCAGTGTGGCAGACACAGCACAGTTTGTAATGTTTCTGCTTGCCCAAGGGTATCAGGAGGAAGGACCCATCTCCTTCCTGGGTTGAAGCCTCCAGCCCGCCTTTGAATTGTGTACCAGTTGGATACACACCTGAGTCTGCAGACCAGCAGTACTGGAGTTTGGAAAGGACACGGGCAGAAGGGTCTGCCTTCAAGTGCCCACTGTGCGGTTTACAAGCTGTGGAACTGTGGGTTGGCTGCCCCTCTCTCTCTCCCTGTTTCCTCACCAGGAAATAATATGCGTGTGACTTGTTTAGTTCAGCAACTGACGTAAGTTGTTGTGTGTCTTCAAAGCAACTCTGACTCTTAGCAGCCCTACTAACAACAGGTTGGAACCTGGTCCAGTCCCATCATCCTCATCTCCGCTGTGCTCACGCATTGTGACAGTCACTGCGTCCCTCCATTGTGCTGAGGGTCTGCTGCCCTTTCTCTGACCCTTCCCAGCACGATGGTATTTTTTAATGCCTGGCCCCCCTCTTGATAAGATGTTTACTGACCAGTTTACTGTTTGACATAGACTCATTTAATTGTATCTGCAGTTAGGAGTAACTGTGGTGGTGGGGCGACCACAGCATCACCAGATGGGCTTGAACTGTGACCTTCTGTTTGGCAGCCAAGTTCTTAACCATGGCTCCACCAAGATCTCTGTGGTGAGAATAGATTATTAGAATCATATCATTACTGAGTAATTCAGATGTAACTTATTATATAATCTGTAAAGTGTATGTAAGCCTAAAAGGCATTGGGTTCTGATCAGGAAGGTGGTAGCATCTGAGTCACAGCTTAAAGGGCTCTAAATAACAGGGGTTTGTCAAGGGAGAATATGGCCAGATGGGAGGATGAGCCCACACTGCTGGCCTCCAGAGCGCGTGGATGGACAGAACCACAGTGTCCAGGGTTCTGGTGTCTTAGGAAAAGCAGCCTCTCTCAAAAGTGGAGGTGTTCATGTCCTTTGGGGGCTGATCTGGGGCCCTGGGTAGGAGTGGCTGGGATGCAGCCCCAAATCTCATCCACTCTGATATCAAGACTCTAATGACTCAGTACTTGGTAATTACAGGTGGAGGGACCCCAGAGGACAGAAATAACTCACCATGAAGAACCGAGCACCTTCGGGTGAAATAAAACAATAGTAATTTCTTCCTCTTTCTTTTCACAGAAAATATGATGCCGGCATGCTGCTCGCGTGAGACAACTGGGCCCGTAGACCGCCACAAAGCACAAAATCTTAAACCCAGGGAAGGAACAAAAATGGGGTTTTCCTGGCGTCCACAAGAAGCGCTTTATTTTTCCTCTAGATTTCTTTTCTAAAAAATGAAGAAAAAAAAAAAAACTCTCCAAAAAACAAAAGAAAAAAACCACAACAGACTGAACCAAAATGGAAACATTTAAAGAAACAGTACAAACTGCAGGTGATCATATTCAAGCATGCTCTTTTATTTATGCATAAGTTGGGAGGGACAGAAGGAAGCAGGACAGATGCAAGACCTCCAGACAACAGGTTACTTCTTAAGACTGTGAATGAAGTATTAAACAGAACAATATGGTAGCCTCCACTCCAAGATCCTCTATATTAAGGGTGAGATGTCACCTTTCCTGTAAAGCACCCAGGGAGTGGTATCAGGAAGGTATGTGCTGGTATCGCTACATTCTTTTACAGCTTTGGCGAAGGAGTGGACGGCTGGCCCTGCCCAACCTCATTTCCCAATCATCTTGGCTGGCTGGAGTGAGGCTCAGAGCTCTCTCCCTAGCCTTCTCCAAGCCCATTCAGATTCTGTCAGGGTGACCACAGGGCTCATCTCCCAGATCCATGCAGGAATGAAGACTGAACATTCACCCTCTGGGGTCACCTGGCTGAGAGGGCCAGGATGACTTGTGTGTGTCTTCCAGGAGCAGAGGCAACACCCCCAGGTTCCACTGTCTCCTCTGACCCCAGAAAAGAGACATGGCCCTTTTCTCCCTGGAATGCCCTGGCTCCCATGGGACTTCAGTTGTGACTCTGCTGCTTGTCTTGGCTGAGCTATGCCCGGGGGGTGGGGGTGGGGGGCAGTGTGTGTGCTGTTTCTTTGGGGAGCCCCCTCTTATCTTAGCCGGACTGGCTCCCGAGCCGCTCCTGGACCAGCCTCTCACTGAGCTCCCACAGGGCCCGGGCCGTGTCCTCGCTCTGCGCTTCCGAGGAGGATACACAACGACAGCAGTTGTTGAAGTACATTCCTCCCAGGCCCTCCAGTTCCGGGGAGGCTGCGCAGTACACTGTGGTGGCAGCTCCTTGTTGCTGGAAAGGAGAAGAGAAGAAGAGAGAAAGGCCTGGTGAGATGATGTCACTGGGACTGGCGTGCCTCCCCTGGCTCCGAGTGACTTATGACCTCAAGGCACCCGGCTGTAAAAGGTATGATGTGACGGCCCTGGAAAACGGAGTTCATAAACTCTGCTCGTAAAGCTGGTGCGACTTCTCACACCTCGTCCGAGGAAAAGGCTTAGAAAATAAACAAGCAAAGTGGCAGATTGCTCTCTGTGCAGAAGGAACGGCTGGCGCCAAGGATGGAGACAGACATCAGTGAACTCTGCACCCCCTGACTCCCCTGGTTCGCAGTGAGACTGGACATGAGCTTGTTCCCATCACCTCCTCTCAGGTTAGCCAACCACGCGCACAAGGGACCATCAGGATGACAGCCCAATGGGGCCGGTGTCAGATGGGGGTTGTCCTTGATTCCTTTCCCACAAGGCTGCCCGGGGGAAGGGAGTTGTGTGGTCGAGTTAAAATGTCACACACACACACACACAAGGGCTCATACTCAGACAAAATGCAATGATTCACTCCTCCAGGTCCCTTGGAAACCATTGTGTACACGTCATATTGACTCTGGATTTACAGGACGACAGTGAAGAAAGGGGTATACTTTTCACCCACGCCACTTCAAACACAAATTCCAGTGAGTGCAATGGATCATTTCCCATCCGCCTCCCTCCGAGTGTCACTTGGGTTGTGTGTGGTGAGGGGGCCTCATATCATCCCGCTGCCACGGTGCTGTCGGGGATGCTGTAAAGAGGGCAAGAAATCACTTTGCTCTGCAAGCTATAATTAAAAATAATAGGCTGGCGCTCATAGACAAACACGGTAGGCATGGCTCTAATTTAAAACCAATACAGTTTATCTGGCATCTTATGATTATTTATGTGCATCAAAGCCCTAGCAGTATCAACTAATTATTAGCTGATAGGGAGGGGGTGCGAGGGAGGAAGGAAGAGGGGCCTGGAGGCAGGGCCATCAGGAGGGACACAAGAGGGGGTCTCTGATTGCGGATGGGATTCTGGTGTGTGACTTTTCTGTCCCCTAGAAGGTCTAAATCCTGCCCTCAGATGGCCTGGTCTGCACTCACCATAACTGCATTCTGGAACCTATGGAAACCAAGGTTGTAAGATGTTAGGATTTTAAGATTCTTTCGTTTGTTTTCTCTAGCACTGGTGTCTGGGGGGGCCAATCTAAATTTGTCTAAAAGCCAAATGACCAATTCCAAGGCTTTGCCCTCATTGTGACTTGACTACCCCACTGAGAATGTGTGTCCTCCCTAGATCTGCTAAGAATTGACATTTCAGCAAGATACGTCGAAATCACCTGAGGAATCTTGTTAAAATGTTGCTTCTGATTCAGTACAAGAGACAGGATTGTGGAGAGAGACAAGGAAAAGACTTGAGTTCTGCGACGACCTGGCTGCTGGACTGTCCTGGGTGAGTCTGTCATCCTGAGCCTCGGCCCTGACTGCAGTGTAATTAAGCAGTAACTGGCTTGTTACCTCCCCTAAGTCCTTGGTGGTGCCCACTCTCCAAATAGCTCTCTCTTTTCTTGGATTCAGCTGTTTCTTTTCAAATTGATTTGTGTGGATTACAGCTAATGGAAAGCAGTTCACATCATCCAAGTTCTCTTTCACTCGGTTCTTACCCCTAATCCCCCTTAGCCTCGCGCCTGGCACACTTTTCGAGAGCATTCCGAGGGGTTTAGCGGACTCCTCCACGGCCCCCGAGCGGCGGGAAAAGGAAAGCAGAAGTGCCTCTAAAGAAAGTGAAGCAGCAAGATCTCACTCGAGCCAACTGCCATGCTGCTTCTCAGCAGAGCTCACGGGGAGATTTCTCCCCCAGGAGAGTCACAGAACCAGCCCTGGACCTTGACGTGATGAGACCCTCCTCAGAGCGTCCCCAGAATTCATACAATATCAGACCTGATGGGTGTCTCACGGTTCCCCCAGTTCTAGGCGGAAGGCACCCTTCTTCCAAGCTTAATGCCACGCTGGCCCATGAGAGCTTCCCAAACAAGACCTTGTCACACTCTTACACTCCCGGTGGACAGTCCTTTTGCCAAGGACTTCGGTGCAACAATTGATTCAGAACTGAGTTGGAGAGGGAGCTGGGCTGTGCATTTCCCCCTCTGTGGACTCCAGAGACAATTACAACAGACAAAGTATCCTGTCAGTGTACAGTTGGCCACCATGCTGAAAACGACACATTTTCCAAAAACTCAAGTCTTTTATAAAGAGCTGGATGTAATGCCTTTACCCACTATAGGCTTGAAGGGGGTTAGGCAATATCAAATCCTCCTTCAGTGGCTTCGTAGAACACCACAGCCAAGTAAATCAAAGCAAAGATCAACCGTGCGCCCTCTCAGTCCATCTGGTCCCCCTGGTACCTTCCTCTCAGAGGACTACTCCACAGGACAGCACCCCGCGAGCTTCTCTGGAGTCTCTCTACAGCAGCGCTGATGGCAACCTCTGAGTGACAGCTTTGTGTGATCAGACGTGAGAACAGTTTAGTAACAAGTCCTCATTTTTGGCTTCTCAGCTTTGCATTTCGCAAAGCATCAGGATGAGATCGGGACCCTGTGAGGGATGTCTCAGTAGTAAACAAGCCGGTATTGCTGATAACAAGAAAACATTTTTAAACTGATAAAAACCCAAGTTTTGTTTTTCTGAGAGAGCAGAGCACTTTAAACACTGTCAAATGACTCCCGCACTGCTTTGTGGGAAGGGACAGCATCATTCAGGAAAGCTGAAAGAATGGGATCGGAACTATCTGTGCTGTGGGTCTCACCACTGCTCAGTGATCCAGTGTGAGAAAAATCATCACTATGCCCTGAACCTGGAGAAAGGACGAAAGTTATACAGGTGTGCAGAACTTCCGTTCATAGGGCCATTATGAGTCGACAACACTTAACAATACTCTGATCTAGAAACGCTGCGTGAAGCTGCCAGATCCCCTATATCATCTCGTTAAGGACAACTTTTAAGAGTTTGCTCATCACAGGAATGGCAGTGACGCGGTCCCATCATGTAACTACAGCAGTGAGTGAGGGCTTTGATGGCCCAACCCTGAGGATTGCTGTGAAGCCCAGTAGAATCTTAAATCATGCCAAGCATGCCACTTCCAATCCAGTCAAGCATTTGCAAGCTGCCGGAGGAGAGAGTCTGGCCATCAATCTTGATGGTGTATGTAAAATGACCTGGGATTCTTGTTGGGGAGTAAGTTAGGAGTATTGTGGTAATAAGAGTTCATCATTCGCTTTCAGAAATCATTTGTCAGGTTTACGGTGCCAGCCTCACCTATGGAAAGGTGGGATTTGGAAAATGGTAGCTGTTTATAGTTGAGGCCCTGAGATATGAATTACCCATCCTTCCAAAATCCTTTGTGGGGATGAAAATGTTAAGTACGTTCTTTTCATCACCATTTATTTGATAACTGCTAGCCGTCAATTTGTAACTGTCAGCGTGGAATACAAATGGATATTGACTCTTTTAAAGGAAAAAGGACAAGGGTTTCTAACAAAAAATAGATGGCTAAGGTAAAGGAAAAAACCACCAGCCAGCCATCCCCATCCTGATATCTGTAATGCATTGATTAGCACGCTAATACTTATGTTTTAGTAAGTACACATGTTATACAATCAGTGTTTCATTTTCACGTTTCTCTATTTTAAAATGCACGCCGATTTAAGGGAAAAAAATAGGCTTAACTTAAAAATAGACATTATCATGATGTATCTATATATTCTGTAACTGCCAGAAAGCAGTAGTTGTTCTAAGATTGTTTCAGATATAGAGATAACAGGAGAGTGCAATTTACGCAGAAAGAGAACAAGGGAGGGAGTGGTCTTTGATGGCGCCTGGGACCCCCCAGGGCAGGGCAGGATGCCTGTGATGGTAGAGCTTGATTCCACAGACCAGGAAGGGAGCTCATTGAGAGCACATGGGGCAGAAATAAAAGCCATTTGCTGGTGTTCACCTTGGCTATGTTAAGGTAAAAGAAATACTTTCCAAATGCACAAGCGGCTTCCCAGTGAGGTGGCCCTGTGAACGTAGCCCATGGAGCAGAATCATTCATCACTGAGCTGTTGGAAATGAGGTGGTGAAAGCAGACTTTTCCCAGTGGAATAAATGTAAGCTCCGTGGCTTCTCCATCTTTTTATCTCCCAGTAACACTTCAGCAACAGAATTGATCCTAGACCAGAAGTCTACGGGGGGGAAATGTAATGTACAGAAGTCTTCCCAAACAATTATGGCTTCCACCTCTGGTTTGACAATAAAGCAAGCGTAACCTCCAAAAGGTGGTGTGCTCCCCTTCTCACCAACTAGGAGCAATCTTCTCGGTTAATAAACTAACTCACCAGGCAGCCCATTAGTAACATGAATAACTAATGCACCTGATATACATGATCAGGGTTTACAGACCTGATGAACATGACCCTGGCCAACAACTCATTTCTCTCCACTATGACGCTCCTACTGAAACCAAGGCCAATCAATACACATACCAGCTTCCACAGAAGTTGTGGGAGGGAAAAGAAGCGAGAACTTGAAAGCAAGCTCTCCTTCCAATGGACGTGATTTTCCACGAATTATTGCAAACAATGCGACTATTAAAATGGCAATGGTGACTAGCATTTATAGAGAACTTGCAATTCACCAGACTCTATGCAGAGAGAGCTTTATATAACATTGTTCACGTCAGTTCTACAAGCCAAGTATTACTGCAACGCCACTTGCAGAGAAAATATCACTTGGTATCACAGACCAAATAAACCCTCAAATAAACACACCACCCTCTCCTCTCAGTTCTATGTATCCCACTTTGTCTTCTCAGCCTAACACAGTGTGGCACACCGAGGTGGGCTTTTAAAAGAAGGGAAAAAAGCTTGAAATGTCACATGTTTAATTGAGAAACATTTAAGAGGAGATTTTTCCATTGTTGATTTAGTCAAGAAGCTAAATTGAAATTATATCCATTTGG